AGAGCGAGAGAGAGAGAGAGAGAGAGCGAGAGAGAGAGAGAGAGAGAGCGAGAGAGAGAGAGAGAGAGAGCGAGAGAGAGAGAGAGAGAGAGCGAGAGAGAGAGAGAGAGAGAGAGAGAGAGCGAGAGAGAGAGAAGAAAGGAAAGGCAAGGCAAGGCAAGGCAAGGCAGCAGCTCCACGCCACTCCTTTGTTTTAGGAAATCGCTCGAAGACTGGAATGATGCATCGCGTTTCTCTCGCCGCCTGTTTTTAAAGGCGAACTTGACCATTTTGCATTTAATTTGGTGGAAAAGCGTTTGAGCTGCGACACCTTCAGCCGCATTAAGCGTTTCCTCCGCGTTCGCCCTGCATGCGCTTAGACTCGTTTTTCTCCACCGTTTTGCGTTCCACGTCGCGGGCTCCTCTCATCTACCGAAGCGTTCCGAAGCTCCAGGCCCGAGACACTCGCTACTCTTCAAAGGCCTTTAATGCGGCACATTGTAACGGGTTTCCACGCGTCAGATGAGCGTCGGTTCTGATCCATAAAGCGTCTACCAGAACATCTCGCCTGCGCTGTTCGCTCTTCATACGCAGCGTCTGCGGCCCTCTTCAATGTTAATGTCGACCGACGTCGCATCTGTAATGCTGCCCGTGAGCCACGGGATCCTGGAACACGACCGGGATCTGGACTCTGGTTCGGCGGCGGTTCGGGGGATGAAGCGCGGGGACCCGGAGCCAGAGGGCGCCGCGGCGGCGGGGGATTCGGTCGGGGCGGAATGCAAACGAGCGCGGATGGACGGAACCGGAGAGACCGGACAGGTAAGCGTTAAAACCACCATTCAGTGCGTTTGTGTTTATGGAAGAATAGATGCTGTGTGCTTCTCAGATCTGGCCCGTTACATGAGACACAAACAAACAGCGATGACGCTCATACATGGGTTTCTCTCTCTCTCTCTCTCTCTCTCTCTCTCTCTCTCTCAATGCTGGTATGATCCTCCTGAATCATGGAGGGGATTCTCCAGCGCTGCTCTCATCCGAGGCCTGCAGTCTCTCCATCTCTGCATCCTGCGGTACTTTTCCATCCTCCTCCATGAGCACTTCTGCTCCTCTGTGTATGTAGACAGACGTGATCTCATCTCTCATTTCAGCGTTTTATCCATCTCTCCCTTTCTCTCTCTTTCCGTTCATTCTCCGGTAAGTGATCTAAAGTGCTGCATGGACACTAATGGCTCATTTTCACAGGCTAATGGCTCACGGTTTCTCTAAACTGCACCATGACGGTATAAGGCCGAGCAAATGTGTGTGTGTGTGTGTGTGTGTGTGTGTGTGTGTGTGTGTGTGTGTGTGTGTGTGTGTGTGTGTGTGGGGAGTTTGTT